ACTGATTATACAGATTCTTTCCTTTGCGACCAGAAACCGGGAACTCGGGAACTCATATCGAACGTTAAAGACAACCTAAGAACTGTAATTCAGATGAACTTGTCATGAATCAGTAGAAAGTAGTTTACCTTAATAACATTGGGATGGTGAAGACGAGATAAAAGGATTACTTCCCGACCAAACTGCTTTGTTATGCGACCTGCAAGATCGCCATTTTCGTCGTGCTTTGGTAGATTGATGACCTTAATAGCAACAACTTTGTCGAAGTAAAGTCCGTGGTAAAGGCAACTATGAGCTCCATAAGCAAATTTAAATCCAAAATACAACTTAGACAAGTCAACAGAGAATTCATCAACAGCATCAACAGCAGTGACCTTCCCTCTTTTGTGTTCAAACAATTTGGTCCAAGAACCCTCCTTCATGAACGTGGATCTCTCATTGCCTTTAAATGATGCAAGATGCCTTACAGGGCTTCTTAACTTCTCTTCCTCTGAGGAATTATGCACCTTAGCTTCTTTATTGAATACCCTTTTACCCTTCTCTTCTCTCGGCTCTCGTCTACAAGGTTGCGGAGTTGAAAATCGCTTCGAATCATTACGTGCATCCTTAAATGTGCTTAAGAGTGTAGTTTGTGAAGGTGGAGATAGAGACCTCTGCTTGTTAAGGGTAGATTTAGGATGAGAAGGAGCTGTGATAGGAAAGGAAGGCAATCTTAAGGACTCTAAACGGTAGCAAATTGTGTGGGAAAACTTGGTTCTTCTTAACCAAGAATTAGGATCTTCCTCCATGGTTTCCCAAACACTGAAAACTTAAGAAACTATTTGCTGTTCTTCTTCTTGTTCTTCTCCTCCAGCTGAGAAGAAGGCTTGAATTGATCAAAAGGGAAGTTTAGAAACAAACTAGTTTGAATCATACAGCTCTCCAAAACCCGAATTCAAGAAATCCCATGAATAATTAAGAAAACAAGAAGCAAAACAGCCACAGAAACAGAATTTCTTCGTGTTTTTAGCAGCAGAACATTGAGATGGCTAATCAAAGCCGTGAAGATCAATCAAGAACAAGATCGTTTCAACCAATAATCTCATATCCATCAGTACCAAAATCCCTTGAAACCCAATATATCCCATCAAACACCAAGAGAAAGTCCAAATCTAGGAGCTCCCAAATCGCAGTTTTCCCCCCCTTTAACCCTCCTCCTTATCTAAAAATCAACAAATTTGACCTGTTCTTCTAAACCCTAAACTTTTACCATCAAAAAGTCAAACGTTCTTAGTCTCCTCCGTCTACAAAATCCAACAGCAGAATTTCAATAAACAAACAAAGAAACGTAATAAAATAAAATAAAGGTCGCCGCTCAATCGCATTCATACTACAGATAAACCTAGTATCACATTAATCGTTGATTCACAGAAACAAGAAGAATCAATAGAAGCTGACCAGGAGATGAGCAAAAGGATGGATCCTCCGAGCAGCATTGGAGCCATATTTGAATCAAAAACAGCACAGAATCGCCGGGAAATCGGTGATTTCAGAATCGTTTGTTTCGTTTCCCTCTCCGCTTGCGGATTACAGATATTATAATTTGAAATGGGAAAGAAACGAAGAAATATAGAGAAAAAGAAGGAAGTGTGGGACGCACGCAGACGAGGAGGAGGTTGGTTCTCCGGTCATCCCGTGGAGCCTACGATTTTATTAGAAAGCGGAGCTATATTGGGAGGTGGGTCCCAGTGCGGCGCGGCAAAATGGGAGTGGGGCCCAAGGGCTAGCAAAAGTGAAGGAGAAAGTCCACGTGTCATAATCAGAGGGAATTATAAAATATCAAATCCAGCGTGGCACGTTGGTGATTGGTGGGGTACGGCCCCTACCATCTCGCCTACTCAATCAACGCTGCCAACAAGTGGGACCCAACTTGGTTTTTTTTTTTATATATTGCGTCATTATTGAATTGATACTATTATTTATTTAACCAAATTTAATTTTTAAAAATTAAATTAGTTATTCGTCGTAGAGGTGACTATAAAGGGATCAGAGATGATAATTATATTTTTCATTTTCGTCTCCAATGACTCCTTTGAATTTTTATTCCACTATCGAAATTTGAACTTTTAGAAATTATATTTAACCTTATTTATATTTTATATGAAATATTATTGAATTTATTATGAGTATCACATTTTATTTGGTTGATATTTTAGATCTTTATTTTCTTTTATCAAATAGTATTAATTTGGTTGCAATTAATTATTTAGGTCAGGTATGCTTTTGTGAGCCACTGATGGGCTTGTGTCAGAGAAGTTTTCTTCTTGGGCTGCAGTTGATACTCAAGGATGGGCCTTTTGTTTGACTTGGACATTGGGTGAAAGGCTGGATGGGTCCATACTCGCACATGTAGGCCGTGGGTAGAGAAATTAAGTACACTCTAATTATCCACTTAGAATAGCGGTAAAAAAATAGATTGCTGTGATAGGTTTCACTCATGAATTTTATGTGTTTGCATGTGCTACTTCTATTTCATGTAAAGGCACTCCTATACAGTTGATGACAGCATCGTACTTCGAGATCATGACTGGATAATTACATTTATTTTTTTAGACTTAGATTAGAATACGATGTATTTAATTTAAATGTTTATTTACTTCATTTAATATTTCGTTGTGCTATTTTAAAGATGTTTATGATAATGTTTTAACACGAAGTTTATGTCTTATAAAGAAATTCAAATGTATAGATAGGAAGAAATTTAATATTAAAAATATTTATATAATTTTTTTTTAAAAGTTGGAGGGCATTTTATTTAAGATAAAATATTATCTAAACTTTTGTGGAAGGATATTTAGAGGGATGTGAGACGGTGGACTGAAATCCGGGCACTCAAAATAATAATCCTCTACAGATGTCACATTCTTACAACAGTGGTCCTTCTCCATTTTGTTATTACTTTGAACTTCAATTTTCAAACATTGAAAATATGCAAATTAATATTGTTATTATTTGTCCCGAGAATTCAGGTGACTCGACTATATAAACTCTAAAGTTCAGTGTATTTGGCTTAGAGTAATCTCGTATTTGGTAAATTTATAATTTTTTTAGAAAACATATGGATAAAGACAAAACGTGCTTAAAAAGACAGTTGTGAGGACAATTTTCACTTTTATAAGTAATTTAAGAAAAGTATATAGTTTCTTGAAAATTCCGAGAGTAAGTACAATACATGTTGGTACGTGGGAATAGTCTAATGTCTATACAAAACATGTTTAAAATGAATTTGGTTAGTTATAAAGAATGTTCGAGACATCAAAAGTCCACCATTATTTGTTTTTTACTTCTTCTTATTGTCGGCCGTAACTTAGGGTAAAAAATACTCAAATATACCTTTATTTATTTTATTTTTTTGGTTAAAATTAATGGCAATTTTGGAGATAATTAAGGGGTATTAATAAATGACCTTTGGACTTGGTGATATTACGGAATCTGCCACGAGACTGGAAAGAAGTCAAAGTCGGGAAAACTCTGCATAGCTGTCTTTCTTATGATACCCAGCCAATTGAATACGGGATACCACTTCCACTCTCATCTCACGCGAGTGTTCTTCACATGCGGCCTTTTGCTTTTTATTTATTCTATTTAAAATAAATTAATAAAAATACTCTTATATTTTACCTACTAATAAAACTAAAAAAAATATATAAATAAATTATTTTGAAAAATTATCTTTTACTTTTAAAGAGTCTCAGGGAGACCTTTTTATTTTTTAAAATAGTTGAAAAATAGTTTTAAAATTTTCATTAATACCATTTATTTTTTTTAAAGTAAATATTGCTACGTTTTGTATATATGGATGAAATTGTTAATATCACATTTTAAATATATTATATACTTTCAAAATTAATATTAATCCTCTTAACTTTTAGAAAAAAATTAAATTTTTAAAAACGATTTATGAGATGTAAATAGACAATTTTCGTTCCTATATTGATCCTAATAATTGTTTTTGAACTTTTATTTATTTATATATATTTTAAAACAAAATACTAATAGTTTTTATTCCGAACTAAGTCAAAATTTGTATATATTATTGAAACGTTTAAAAATTTAAGGGTACCAACTAAAAAAAAATCATTCAACCGCTCAACTTAAAGAAGGTTGAAGGTAAGAAAAATGAATTCAAGAGTTACGTTCCCGGTACCTACACTTAAAAATGTAACCATTTATTTGTCCTAAATTGATAGATTCAAGCTAACTTTATCGCTCAATAGAAGATCTAGTGGGAGGAGTGGCCCCATGGTAACAATTCAAATAAAATCTATTATAAACACACTAAACTAATAAATAGTAACAAGATCCAGCTCTTACTTAGAACCTCCCCTCGAACAAAGTACGTCTCTCTGTCATTTTTACTATGCATTCGAGGCTCACAATACTTTTGTTCGATATTTGAGGATTCTATTGGCATGGCTAAGTTTAGGGGCTCGACTCTAATACCATGTTAGGAATCACGGATCTCCATAATGGTATGATATTGTCCACTTTGAGCATAAGCTTCGTGACTTTGCTTTGGGTTTCCCCAAAAGACCTCGTACTAATGTAGATAGTATTATTTGATTATAAACCCATGATCATTCCCTAAATTAGGAGACGTGGGACTTTCATCCAACAAGTAGTATTATGTTTAAAAAAATATTCATAATATTTTAAGCATAGCATTAACACCCTCGACTTTTGTAAAAACATGTTCAAAAAAGTTTTTACCATCAATCTATGAACGAAACTCGACCATCCACACAAGTTCATTAATATTTTTAAGAGGGCCGTATATTATTATTTTTTTAAAAAGTTTTTAAAGGATATTGTTCTAAACATTGAGAGATTTAAGGGGAAAGAAAAAAAAAGTGGATGCTTTGCTTAATGGTTGGTTAATTAGGGAAGGGAGCGTGTTTGGCAGGTGCGATGTTCATGATGAATCTTCAAAAATTTTCAAACTGTACAGTAAAACAAAAATGACAAATGACCAACAAAATCAATCCAACCCTCCCTCAACCCCACGCCTCTGATTCTCAACACCTTCCCCTGTTCTCTCTCTCTCTCTCTCTCTCTCTCTTCCCGTCTCTGCAACCTCTCTACTGATCACAACCCCATCAATGGAAGCCTCTTCAATTCACCAACAAAACCCTTCTCCGCCGCCTCCAAAACCCATCACTCGATCCGAATCTGTAAACCCATATCCCACTACCTTCGTCCAAGCCGATTCCTCCTCTTTCAAACAAGTAGTTCAAATGCTCACCGGATCTCCTCAAACTGCTAAGCAAGCTTCTGCTAAGCCGGTTTCCGGTGGTTCCAACGCTGATTCTGTGTCGAAAACGCACATTCCGCCTATGAAATCGTTGCCCAAAAGGCAGCAATCTGGGTTTAAGCTCTATGAGCGGAGGAACTCCTTGAATAAACTTAAAATTAACCCGTTGATTCCGGGGTTTGGTTCGAGTTGTAACTCTGGGTTTTCTCCGAGAAACCCTGAGATTCTTTCTCCTAGCATTTTGGATTTTCCGGCGCTCGCTCTTAGTCCGGTCACGCCGCTTATTCCTGACCCGTTTGATCGATCTGGGTTGGCGAATGCGAAATCGGAAGCTGAGGCGGAAGATAAAGCGATTAAAGAAAAGGGGTTTTACTTACATCCATCACCGACCACTACACCTCGAGAATCTGAGCCTCGGCTGTTGCCTCTGTTCCCATTGACATCGCCTAGAGTTCCAGGTTCTTCTTCCACTTCTTGAATTCCTCTTTTGTTCTTTTTTTTTTTTGGATTTTGATTTTATATGTTGCTGCTGAGTGATAATGTTTGTAATGATGTATTTCCCGAGAATGATAGATGATTACTGCTTCAATTGTAAAATTTGGTGTTCTGAATCTGTTCTTCTCATGAAAAAAGAATAAGAACTAGCCTCATTTTCTCCCTTGTTTGTTCCAAGAGCTGAAGATTAATGATTGTTCTATGGATTTTTCTTCAAACCCATTACAGTTTACATACAATTTCAGTTTCTATAATAGGAGGGATCTTGATTTAGTGCAAATCCTGATAAATCTTTGTTCGTAAATTTGATCTGTCTATCATTATTACTGCTCAGCTCATCTTGTAGTCAACACTCACCACTCAATAAATGTAACATAAATGCGAAGACTAATTCGGTTTTGGGTCATTTTTAAGGCAATGTTAGTGTTAGTAGAGGTGAATAAAGAAAAAGGAAGGTCTTGTGCGTGTGGAATCTTGACATTTTGTTACCTTTTGTGTTGTATCTTGTAAGCTTTTGTCGTTTCTAGCTTTCTTTCTTTCTTCCTCTTTCCCTTTTCCTTTCCCCTCCTTTCAAAGCCTGAAGTAACTTGTGATCATTTGACATGATAGGATAGAAAATTCACCCTCAAATGTTGGGAGAGAGTCCTACGTCGGCTAATTAAGGAGATGATCATGGGTTTATAAGTAAGGAATCGGGAGAGAGTCCTACATCGCCTAATTAAGGAGATGATCATGGGTTTATAAGCAAGGAATACATCTCCATTGGTAATACGACCTCCACAATAGTATGATATTGTCCACTGAGTATGAGCTCTCGTGGCTTTGCTTTTTGTTACCTCGAAAGGCCTCGTACAAATAGAGATGGTATTCCTTACTTATAAACCCATGATCATCTCCTTAATTAGCCAATGTGGGACTCCCTCCCAACCATCCTCAACAGGTTCGTGATTCCTAATAGGGACCCCATTTGAATCCGGTGAAGTTCATTAGCTGGGCAATACAAATCTTATCATCATAGTGTTGTTGGGGCAGCTGACAATGAAGGAACCCATCCCCATGGGTCAACCCAAGTGTGATGAGTTACTCTCAAGAACAGGTCATTACAACTGTTTATAAATGAGGAGTTTCCCTGTCAGATAAGGTAGTCAAATGGGGACATTGGACTTAGATGCATAGCTTTGAATTTGAACTTGGGTCCGGTGGATCATTAAATGGGTAGACTTGGTTGGGGCCCTTGAAGGCGAAGGGCATTGTGGGTGTGCTAAAGTGAAGCGATCATGGGGAAAGGTAGTGGTGCTTTTAATATCTTTTCTGGAGTCTTAACACTTACGCTGGCCTACTTGGCTTGACTCTGAACAGTCCTCTCAAAGTAAATGGGGACACGGGAAAGTGAAGGAAGGAAGGAGGGAGAGGGGTAAGGCAGAAAACATGGGTGTCTTTGTCAGTGCTGTTGGTTTGTTTGTTTCTTTGACTCGTTGTTTTTATATGTTTAGTAGTAGTTGTGGTGTTTCTTGTTGGTCTGCTTTGCTTTTGTAGACTTTTCGACACTCCCATGGTGGGGTGTCATTAATTGCAATCGCGAAAGTTGATTATTAGTCTAAGTTCACCGCTAGTAGATATTGTCTTTTTTAGATTTTTTCTTTCGGATTTTCTCTTAAAGTTTTAAAACGCGTCTTACAACCGTGAAGTTGATAGAGATGCGTACCGGGCTAAAAGCAGACAATATCTGCTAGTAGTGGATTTGAGCTGTTATAAATGGTATCAGAGTCGGTCACTAAATGGTGCGAGGTATTGGTCGGAGTAGGACTAGACGTGTTTGAAAACCATGAGGTTGACAATGACACGTAATGGGCTATATCGGACAATATTGCTGGTGGTGGGCTTGAACGGTTACAAATGGTTTCAGAGCTAGTCACTGGATGGTGCGAGGCACCGGTGGGAGTAGGGCTAGACCCTCTCCATAATAGACGCATTTTAAAACTGTGAGATTAACAGTAATACGTAACGTGACAACCGTGGACAATATGCGGTTCCTTTTTATAGTTTCTACCCTTCAACCACATCATAATTCTTTTCTTTACAAATTTACGCCCAAATATCCGCTGACACCCTATATTCTCTCTCTCTCCCCTGTTTTTGTTTTTTCTTTGATCTTTATTCCCATTTTATGGACTTTTTATCATATAAATGAAAGTATCGATGATTCGTCCCAATTCAATTCATATGGTTTGGGTTGAATTATGAGTTATTTTAATTGAATTTCACGTAAATAAAAATTTTATGGATTGGTTCATGAATTCTTTTGGAACTAAATTAGGTTTAACGGACCGACTCGAATTTATTTTTAATTTTAAAATATACATGTAGAGATATTTTATGGTTGGATTGGTCTCATTTCTATGTAGAGATATTTTTCGTGCATTCAATCTTTTCATCGTAATGTTTATCGTGAAATATATCATTTTTGTACTAATTGGATTGATTTTTCAAAAGAGTTTGTCTAATAAATATAAAACCTTGGTCTATGTCTTTATTTAAATTTATTGCTTACTTTGAATGGTCAATAATGTAAGTAGTCGTTTTCGAACATGTGGCATCATTCAAAAATGTAATCGGAGTCTTGTATGATAGCAACCGTGACACCTTATTGACTTTTGAATTGCTATCACATTAACTGGTATGAAAATTTAAACGTTCGATATGAAAAAGAGCAAGAATATATGTCAATTATCACTAATCTATGCTCGTTATGACTATTAGTTTTTATATCTAATTTAACAAGCCAGACGTAATTCCAATATTTGGTGCACTTTATGATATACTTTAACCTGTTTAGATATACTTATAATCAAGAGGTTAGAGACTCGAATCTTTCTATCTTCACTTGATGAATTTGTACATAACACAGTAGGATAACTCCGAGTAGGGAATCTTGTTGCGACCCAGTTCCCGTCCAATTAAATTGAATGGAGAAGTCGTCATAGTTCCCGTCCCACTCGTGGACATCTCTAGTGGTCGATATGATAGAGGCCAAACACATGGCCTGATCCTCATCTACATTGATCCTCATCTACATTCGTAAGATAATTGGGCCTTTAAGGTCCAAATTCCCCGAGAGAAAATGCTATAATAATTTAACTATCGAGTCAACTTGACCAACTGAATTAACTCGAATATTTGATGTTTGTGACTGATATAATGATGCGTTGTGACTTGTAAATTTTTTATATTTGATTTTTTTAAATAATTAAAAAAACAAGCTGACAACTCAATCCAAAAATCGACGGTTGGATGAGGTTAGATTGTGAACTATATTCAGATTGTTCGGGTCACTAATCCAACTAACCCTAAATTTTATATTGATCTAAAATATTTCTAGAACCCAATTCGTGTAAACCCGAACAGGTGACAGTGATATCGTAGATAGAAATTGTTGAATTTAAAACCTTCAAATATTATGTCGTCATTGAGTGGGCCCTCCTGACTGTAATCAGATTTAGACTATCCATAGACCAGAAGAAATTAGGGTTGAAAATCTACACCTTTCTAGGGTTAAGGTTCTTCAACCTTCCATCTCCTGGGCCCCATTTCTGATCAACGGTTGTTAACCTTAACAAAGCATCATCATGAAATCCAACGGCTGTGAATGTAGAGCTCACCATCAACGCTCTTTATCACTCCGTAGACAATTGCAGCCCAATGATCATTGTACCCGTAACCACCTTACCATCCATGCGGCGTTTTTATTTTCCTTTTTTTTTTTTATAAATGTTAAAACTTTATAACAAAATATTTAAATTAACAAATAATTACTTTATTATCCTTAAACAAATTATTTAGCGTTTAGATAACCATATGAAAATATCGAACATAAATTTAAAATTATTTATAAAAATTAAATAATTAATAATAATTAATGTCTTATTTACTTAATTACGTTAACAGAGTTAAAATTCTAAAACGTCCACATTTATTTATTTTAGTCTATGTATTTTTTAGGCTAATGAGAGGGGTTAGCTTGGATTACAAGTAATCTTGTGTAACTAGTCAATGAACATGGCTACTACTTATCCTTCATTTTTTTAGTTTTCTTTTGGGACTTTTCTATGAACAATTAAAAAAATAATCCCACTTGGTATATAAAATTGCTTATAATAATTACATTTTCATGATTAAATTTGAATTTTCGTTTTTACAAGAGGCTGGTTTTGTTATGAATCACGGTTTAGCAGGTGAATTTGAGAGAAGAAACGACTGGTCTCGGCCTTTTTTGATCTTTGATCTTTTTCCTTTTTTTATCGACACCCTTTTGCTTTATCTGTTTTTTTTTACTGCGTAGAGGTGTCGTGGTCTTCTTACATAGCTTTCGATTCGCGTCTCTGTGTACCCTCCAAGTGTGCGCTTTTGGCTGGAGAATCTGTTTTGGCCTCCTCTGCTTCAAATATGTTTGCTCTGATTCTTTAATGGCGATGATCGATTTTTGCCTAATTTCTACGAGGTTTGTTTATTGCTACTATCCATTTTTTTTACTTTGTTTTTTTGCCCTTTTGCTTTGTGATCTTCTTGGGACGGCTGTTCTTTACTTTACTTCATGTGGGGTTTCTTATAATCTATTTCTGGTGTTTGATTCAGTGTTCTTCTTCTTCTACAGAATTCGTGTTGAGTTTTTGGGGATACCCCAGTAGTCATAGGGCGTTGATTTTCGTCTGGACTTCAATTTTGGCTTCTGGGAATGGATTTTTAAGTGTAGGGTTCTGTAGTTGGAGTTTAGTTCTTTGTTTTCGGATGAATTTTGGGATGTTTCTTCATTATGTTCACGAATTGTTCTTTGAGTTCTTACTTACTCAATAACTAAACGAAAATGAGAGGATAGTTTGAATCTTGCTGCGCATCAGAATGATTTGAAGTAATTGAAACTAGGAGTGGAGCTAGAAATTTTTGTAATGGGTGTAGTGTTGACCTTCCTTTGTCTTTGGCTTCACCCTTGCTTGATATGATGTCTTTGTAAAGATCCCACGTTGGTTGGAGAGGGGAATGAAGCATTCCTTATGAGGGTGTGGAACCTTTCCCTATTAGACGCGTTTTAAAACCATTGGCGATGTGTAACAGGCTAAAACGGACAATATTTGCTTGCGGTGGATTTGGGCGGTTAGAAATTGTATTAGAGTTAGACATTGGGCGGTGTGTCAACGAGGACGTTGGGCCCCCAAAGAGGGGTGGATTGTGAGATCCCACGTTGGTTGGAGAGGGGAATAAAACTTTTTTTTTATAAGAGTGTGGATACTTCTCCCTTGTAGACGCGTTTTAAAACGGTGAGGCTGATGACGATATGTAACGGGCTAAAGCGGACAATATCTGCTAGTGGTAGCCTTGAGATGTTACAAATGGTATTAGAGCCAGACAATGGGCAGTGTGCCAGCTAGGATGATGGGCCTCCAAGGGGGGTGGATTGTGAGATCCCACATCGGTTGGAGAGGGAAACGAAGCATTGTTTAGAAGGGTGTGGAAACCTCTCCCTAGCAAGCACGTTTTAAAACCGTGAGTCTGACAACAATATGTAACGAGTCAAAGCGGACAATATTTACTAGTGGTGGGCTTGAGATGTTACAAATGGTATCGGAGCTAGACATCAGATGGTGTGCCAGCGAGGATGCTAGGCCTCCAAGGGGTGGATTGTGAGATCCCACATCGATTGGAGAGGAGAACGAAGCATCCTTTATAAGGGTGTAGAAGCCTCTCCCATAAAACCGTGAGGCTGACAGCAATACGTAACGCATTAAAGCGGACAATATCTGCTAGCCATGGGCTTGGGCTGTTACAATACACCCGATTTTGTACTTCTTTTTCCTTCCTTTCTTTCCTCTCATTGTTTCACTTCTCACAGGTTAACTTACATGACAATATAATACACTTGATGTTCCAAAGGTAGTGTACCTTGAAATCAGCTGCTCAATTTTAACCATGGCTACCTCTGCAAATCAAAGCAAAAAGGAGAGCTTGCTTAATGAGGTAATTTATTGCATAAGATTTCATGTTGTTATGGTTGCTTCATGATGTGAATCATTGCAGGTTGTGAGCTTGGAAAAGCAGTTAACAGCATCAATCCTTTCCAAAGGGATATTACATTCAGATGTCAAAGATCTATACTACAAAGTTTGTTCAATTTATGAGAGAATTTTCATTAATGAACATGAACAATTAGAGCTTCAAGATGTGGAATATTCTCTATGGAAGCTTCATTACAAGCTTATCGACGAGTTTCGGAAGCGGATAAAGAGAAGCTCTGCAAATGTAGAGAGCCCAAAGTTGGGGACAGGACAGAATTCTAATGATGCACAGCGAAGTAGTAGTAATCATATTGCAGAATTTAGGTCGTTTCTGTTGGAAGCAACAAAGTTGTATCAGAAACTGATCGTGAAAATCAGGGAGTATAATGGTGTTCAAAAAGAAGGCTTGTTATATAAGGCTTTTGGTGTCTCTAAGGGCATTGATCCAAAGAGAAAGAAGACATGTCAATTCTTATGTCACCGTCTCTTAGTTTGCCTTGGGGATCTTTCTAGATACATGGAACAGCATGAAAAACCAGATGTCCATTCCCATAAGTGGTTAGCTGCTGCTACTCATTACTTAGAAGCAACAATGGTTTGGCCTGATAGTGGAAACCCCCATAATCAGGTGATCTTTTTTATTACTGCAGAAAGGAAATACGTGAGATTCCACATCGATTGGAAAAGGGAATAAAACATTCCTTCAAAGGGTGTGAAAATCTTTCCTTAGTAGACTCGTTTTAAAACTGTGAGGCTGACGATGATACGTAACAGGCCAAAGCGGCATATCTACTAGCAGTGGGCTTTGGTTGTTACAAATGGTATCAGAGCCAGACACTGGGCGGTGTGTCAGCGAGGACGCTGGGCCCCCAAGGGGGTGGACTGTTGATATCCCACATTGGTTGGAGAGGAGAACGAAGCATTCCTTATAAGGGTGTGGAAACCTTTCCCTAGTAGACGCGCTTTAAAACCGTGAGGTTGACGACGGCACGTAACGGGCCAAAGCGGATAATATCTACTAGCGGTGGGCTTGAGCTGTTACAAATGGTATCAGAGACAGACATCAGGCGTGTGCTAGCGAGGATGCTAGGCTCCCAAAGGGGGTGGATTGTGAGATCCCACATCGGTTGGAGAGGAGAACGAAGCATTTCTTATAAGGATGTGAAAACTTTTCCCTAGTAGATGTATTTTAAAATTGTGAGGCTAACAGCGATACGTAACGGGCTAAAGCAAAAAATATCTACTAGCGGTGAGCTTGGGCTATTACAAATGGTATTAGAGCTAGACACTAGGCGGTGTGCCAGAGAGGACGCTAGGTCCCCAAGGGGGTGGATCGTGAGATCTCACATCGGTTGGAGAGGGAACAAAACATTCCTTATAAGGCGTGGAAATCTTTTCCTAGTAGACGCATTTTAAACCTGTGAGGTTGACGGCGATAGTAACGGGCCAAAACGGATAATAACTACTAGGGGCGAGTTTGGGCTGTTACAAATGGTATCAAAGCCAGACATTCGATAGTGTGCCAATGAGGATGCTGGACCCCCGAGGGGTGTGGATTGTGAGATCCCACTTCGGTTGGAGAGGGGAACGAAGCATTCCTTATAAGGGTGTGGAAACCTTTCCCTAGTAGACATGTTTTAAAACTGTGAGGCTGATGACGATGCATAACGAGCCAAAATGAACAATATTTACTAGCGTGAGTTTAGGTTGTTACAAATGGTATCAGAGCCAGACACCGGGCGGTGTGCCAGCAAAGACGCTAGGCCCCCAAGGGAGTGGATTGTGAGATCCCACGTCGGTTGGAGAGGGGAACGAAGCATTCCTTATAAGGGTGTGGAAACCTTTCCCTAGTAGACATGTTTTAAAACTATGAGGCTGACGACGATGCATAACGAGTCAAAATGAACAATATTTACTAGCGGTGGGCTTAGGCTGTTACAAATAGTATCAGAGCCAGACACCGGGCGGTGTGCCAACGAAGACGCTAGGCCCCCAAGGGGGTGGATTGTGAGATCCCACGTCGGTTGGACAAGGGAACAAAGCATTCCTTATAAGGGCGTGGAAACCTTTTCCTAGTAGACATGTTCTAAAACTGTGAGGCGGACGACGATGCATAACAAGCCAAAACAAACAATATCTACTAGTGGTGGGTTTAGCCTGTTACAAATGGTATCAGAGCCAGACACCAGGCGGTGTACAACGAAGACGCTAGGCCCCCAAAGGGGTGGATTGTGAGATCCCACTTTAGTTGGAGAGGGGAACAAAAATTTCTTATAAGGGTGTGGAAACCTTTTCCTAGTAGACGCGTTTTAGAACCGTGAGGCTGACAGCGATACGTAACGCGCCAAAGCAGACAATATCTACTAACAGTGGGCTTGAGCCGTTACAAAATCATCTTATGAACTCTTTTTTCCAATCATGATATGAGATAGTATAATATGTTTTACTCAAACTGTTCATAGTTTCTTTCCAGTTGGCTGTATTGGCAACATATGTTAATGATCAGTTTCTCGCTATGTACCACTGTGTGAGAAGTTCTGCAGTCAAAGAGCCTTTTCCAGATGCTTGGGACAACCTTTTGTTACTATTTGAAAGAGTAAGACTCATTTAGTTTCTATCTTACCCTCTACACCTTTTTTGGTTGTTTTTACCACGTTTTAACTATGTGACCTTACAGAATAGGTCATCTCTTATGCCTTCCCTATCTAGGGACGCCGAGTTCGATTTCTTGAGACCGTCCGAGAAGTGCTGTTTAGAAATCAAATCACAAACCAAAGATGATCATAAGTCTCTAGAGACAGACTTGTTTTCTCTGCTCATCAGAACATTGGCTTTCTTTTTCATAAATTCGAGGTATTTTAGTCGCTCAACGTTCCGTATATATATACATTCATATTGTTTTTAGTCCAAGAAACTCCTAATTCATGCATACATGACTTTGTGCAACATTAGGAATGCTTTGCTTATAAAGTTGTTTAGCTTGTTAGAGTCAACTTGATACTCTATGTTGCAAGCAAGACTGATGATACTTAAGAGACTGGGTTATGGAGCCATGCTGCTTTTTTATAGCTCATTTAGTTGTTATAGATAGGAAAACTATATATGGAAAATGATCCTATATCGTAAACGACTATTTATAGTAAAAAAGCTAGTATAGATATACCGTAGATGGTTATATCTGGTAAAACTATATATAGTAAACTAAAACTATATATATCCTTTAGGCCGTGCTTTGAAGATGTACTTTCTGCATTTTCTGTATCCTCTCTTACTTAGTATACATACCTGAAGTCTCTCTCCTGTTTTTTGTGTTCATCTAGATCGAGTGTGTGCGTTGTTGTACGATCCTTACTGTAAAAAAGTGACTAAAGTGTCGAACAGAGGGTGTACTTTGTTCGAGGGCTCCAGAGAAAGGAGTTGAGCCTCGATTAAGGGGAGACTATTCGAGAGCTCCATAAGCCTCAGGGGAGGCTTATAGTGTACTTTGTTCGAGGGAAGGATTGTTGAGGATTATTGGGAGTGAGTCCCACATTGGTTAATTTAGTGGAAGATCATGGGTTTATAAGTGAGGAATACTATCTTCATTGGTGTGAGGCCTTTTGGGAAGCCCAAAGCAAAACCATGAGAGCTTATGCTCAAAGTAGACAATATCATACCATTGTGGAGAGTCGTGATTCCTAAGTGTTCATCTAGATCGAGTGTGTGCGTTGTTGTATGATCCTTACTGTAACAGCCCAAACCCACCGCTAACAAATATTGACCTCTTTAGGCTTTCCCTTTTGGGTTTTCCCTCAAGGTTTTTAAAGTGCGTGTGTTGGGGAGAGGTTTCTACTCCCTTATAAAGAATGTTTCGTTCTCCTCTCCAACTGAGGTAGAATATCATAATTAACAGTCACTTAACGTTTTCTTTGCTTTGCCAATTCCATGTCCACCATTTTTTTTTCTGAGTTCTAACATTTCTTGATGGATTTCAATACATTACAGTTTGGAGCAATTCACAAGTACATTTTCATCTATGATGAGATCGCTGGATGAACTCTTGTCTCTAGATGATTCTGAATTAAATGTTTCATTAGAGTCGTACGACGTTTTGGATTCAGTGCGAACCGGCCCTTTCCGAGCCATCCAAATTGCTTCCGTATTCATCTTCATGGTACAGAATCTTCTCAGTAAAGCTAACCTGAATGATATGCAGCAACTTGAGCTAACCCACTTGGCATTGGTTGCTACCTTTATTGTCATGGGACGTCTAGTCGAGAGATCGCTGAAGGCGAGCCAATGGGAATCATCCCCTCTTTTACCTGCAGTGCTCGTTTTCGTGGAATGGTTACCAAGCGTTCTTGATGAAGTAGTAAGATATGGTTCTGATGCAAAAACTAGAAGCTCCATGTCTTACTTTTTTGGTGCTTATGTTGAGCTTCTACAGAAGCTGAATGTTCATACAGCTGAGGCACATTGTTCTCTTGCTATCCCTCTGTGGGAAGATTATGAGCTAAGAGGCTTCACTCCTTTAGCTTTTGCACATGAACCATTGGATTTCTCATCGCACTGGGAACACATCGACAACTTCGAATTCGGAGCTGAACACCGCGCTTATCGCATAACGGTTGCGGCTACTAAAATTTCGGATATCGCTAAGGATTATCCAGAGTGGATCATTCATGACAAAGTAGAACAAAATGAACTTCCAGATAAGAAAGAACTGGAAGATGAAGAAGTCATTCTTTTCAAGCCCCTCACGAGATACAATTCGGCACCAATCTCTATTGCAGGGAGCAATGAAGCTTCACCGAAAAGCACAGAGGCTCAGACTATATCTTCCGATGAATGTTTGAGGCGTGCCACGTCGCTACTTATACAACAGACGCAGGGCCAGACCGATCCCTTTGCTTTTCATAATCTCAGCAGAAACAAGCCATTTGAACAGCAGCATGATGTTTCAGAAGGCACCATATCAACTGGCCCTCCTTCACTTAGTGCCTGGGTGATCAATAAAGGTTTTACTTTTAACCCTGTTACAGAGAAAGGGCCTGGTTTGCAGCCCATCGATGAGTTAACTCTGGCATTCGTGAACGGTCTTAAACTCGACAATACCGAGAATTCTGCCTCGATTCCGAGCTCGAAATCTGGAAAATCCGACCTTTTTCCACCTCCTCCCTATTCCACCCCAGTACCTTCAGCTCCTTATTTACCTGATGATGCTGTTTGGACTAATGCTACCAATGCTAACATCTCTAGGGACATTGTCCAAAATGATACATTTTCAGGAAGTGCTTATTCAAATTGGACTGCCCCTCAAGCTACATATGAGTATGGTCCCGTGTATCCGTCATCACATCGAATGAGTTCTTCGGAATGGCTTCGTCAATATCGGGAGAATCAAGTACGGGCACCTCCCTACAATGCTTCTGGAAACGTTATGAACTTGCAAAGAAATGATACTTCAAGGTATGAACATTTGTATCCAACAATGAATATGGAGAGTTCATTGCGTTATCCAGCTTTCCCTGCAGCTTACAGCACGAATGAGAACCAAAAAAACATGTTTTTCCATGGTTATGTAAGGCCAAACCTGTATGGCTGCGGTGTTATTGATTTGAGAAGTGAGCAGCCACCGGTTCTGCCGTATCTAAAAGATAAAGAGTGGCAGCTGCAAAAGGATGCTGGTAATAGAAATGCTACCTATATGGGGAATTGAGGATTTTCATAGTTTTGTCTATATTCATCGTTTACTCGAACCGAAAACTTGAAACTGTCTAATGAAAGCGTTTGCGTTTGTATGTACGTGTATAGAAAGTCGAAAAAATGATCTCAAGTAAATGTATATTAAGGAATTGTCTCGCCTCGACATTGTAGAAGATCGTTTCCGTTTCTTAAAAGATATGTGAAAGCGGACCTTCATGTCTGGTGATATAACGTGTCCTTGAGTTTCATTTACGACTGACCTAAAGTTAAGTCACGTTCAATGAAATCTAGTTTCACAAAGTTGAACTCGAGTGCAGCTCATGCTAGTGGAATATTGTTTTTTTTTTTTTTTTTAATTTAAGTAAGCATCTCAATTACTGTCACGTTATTTTAAGTTACGATATCTCTGTTGGTATGAAGTTTTTTAGGAAAATCAAACGTAAAATCATGAGAGTTTATACTCAAAGTGAACAATATCATACCATTGTGGAGGGTCGTGGTTTTTAACATGATATTAGAGTCATGCTCTTAACTTAGTCATGTCAATAGAATGCTTAGGTGTCAAACAAATAAGTTGTGAGCCTTGAATGTGTAATTCAAGGTGACTTAATATCATACTATTGTGGAGGGTCTGTGGTTTTTAACCTGGTATTAGAGTCATGCCCTTAACTTAGTCATGTTAATAGAATGCTTAGGTGTCGAATAAAGAAGTTGTGAACCTTGAAGGTGTAGTCCAAGGTGACTAAAGTGTCGAAAAAAAGGTGTACTTTGTTCAAGAGCTCCAGAGAAAGAGTCGAGTCTCAATTAAGGGGAGATTGTTCGAGAGCTTCAAAGAAAGAGATATCAGGGGAGGCTCTATCGTGTACTTTGATCGAACGGGAGGATTGTTAAGGATTACTGGGAAGAGTAGTCTATAAGTAAAGAATACTTATGCTCAAAGTAGACAATATCGTACCATTATGAATGGTCGTGGTTTATCATGTTAATTTATAGTTTAATATTTTAAATTATTTCTACTTCGAAAATAATTTAAAAAATATTAAAAGAAATATTATAATTTTTGAAACCATTAGAGGGATAGTGCCCTAATCATGGGCTGAATGCTGTGTTCTTAGGAGGGAAGGCGGACCAAGTCGATCAACAGAGCCCATTAACACCGAAGGGAAGGGTTCGAAATCGATCCTCGAAGAACAAACACAGCTTCTGATGAATCTTCCAAAGCAGCCGCAGCCAGTTTGATCTCGTTCTGGCCGTTCCATATTTCCGCAATGGCAGGACACGATTCAGGCGATGGAGAAGTATCTTCAGCACAAGCAGTTTTGCTCGGAGCCTTAGCCCCTGGGGTCAACGTTAGTTCAATTTCATCTTCTATTTTCCAGTTCCCCTCCCCTTTGCAAATCCATTCTCCAATTGAATTCCTGTTTTCTTTACCTTATGAAATCAGGGTCCTACATGGACTACGCTTAAGTCGGCGTTTCTGATGCTGGGTCTGTGTCTTGTCCTGATGCTTAGCCTTGCATTCTCTGCCAGTGATTCTTGGTTGATTCTTCATGTTACGTTCCTAGTGGTTATAACTGCGACCCTTTTCTTGCTCCTTAACTGGTATGTTCAACTTTTTACATTCTTTCATATCGTTCTGGTTCCATTTTTGTTACAATTTAATTTTGTAACAACTTAGTCCTACTTTAAACTTTGTGAATTTCTAACAATTTGATCCAAATATGAAGAACATTGTTAAGATTTAATGAAATTTTGTGGGTATATAGATCTAAAAACTGATTAGGGACCAAAGTAGTTTCCAAACTAAGAATAAGTCTGTTACATAACAAGAATCAGATGGAACTGTTCAAGGTAGTTGATAAGGGATTAGTAAGATTCGGATTACCTCGTTAAGAAATATTTCAAGGTAAGAACACTTGTTTGAGATTCGAATCACTCGATCATATTGAGCTTGAATGATTCTAAACATGTAACCTAAACTAAATAGAATTGTAAAGAAATTTAGCCCTAATGATAAAGAATAAAGTAAGATTCAAATTACTTGTTGATTGAATATCTCTAGACATGAACACTTATTTGAGATTCGAATCACTCCAGTAGAAAGATTGATCATGTCAAGCTTGAATGATTCTAAACATGCAATCTAAGCTATATATAATTGTAAAGAAACATAGTCATTCACAAATGCTTTTTTTATTGCATTTTCCGAGTCTTCTTTATAAATATAACATCCATGACTTTATATAGTCTCAAAATGAAAGTCCTTGACCTTCCATGGAGTATTTCAAGAGTTGTAACCTCCATACTTTAGGACCATAATTAGCTACTATGGTCAAGGAACATCATAACTCTAGATTGCCATTCACCCAAAATTTGTAACCATCCAAGAATAAATGGAATTTGAACATTTTCTTTCCATCTTTCTTCTATTGATACCTTGGTTGGTTATTAAATTGTTACAAATTTGAGCTGTGAGGAGTGAGTTCTATGTGGCATACATTGTGTTGAACATAGAACGTGAATTAAATCAGGAAAAGTGTGGAGCACCAACTTTCTCGAACCACCAAATATTTTAGTCAAGAGCTGGTATTGTACCCAGGGATTCAATGTCTGCATTGAGTTTGGTGCATAAACAATTGTATTCAAGAGCTGGCATTTGGCATAAACAATTGTATTCAAGAGCTGACATTTGGCATAAACTGTGAGGAGTTTAAATTGAGTTTTGGGCCTCAATGGTAGGTTGTTTTGAAGGCTTTGGAAACTTGGTGGGTTTGGCATTTGTAACCTGAAGTTATGTAATGAAACATTGTTGTCTTGTGGTGTTTCTTTAGAGATCATAATATTTTTATCATTCAGACGCTTATGAATGAGTTTTGATTTCTATACAGGTTTCTTTCCGAGACTGGCTTGGTTTCAGTAAAAAATCAAATGGAAGAACTACAGATGTCGCCGAAGAGTCAAGATAAAAGCGAAAAGAACGAATGATCATTACGAACTTTATTACTCAATAAACCAAGACATCAAATGGGTATGCCTTAGGAGACTCAAACAAACAGATAAAGACAGCAATCACGGTACGTCGTCGTGATCGATAGGTATTATAAATCTTCCATTATTCGAAGAGGGGAGAAAAACCCGAACTTATTTTCAGAAGAAACACTTGCAATGGTAACTTCATTCATGCTTTGATTCATCCTCCTTGTGCTTTCCTTTCTTCTGCTTGATGGAACAGAAGCATGAACAGCATGGTAACTGTAAAAAGAACTTCATTGCTTGTTGTGTTTGATGTGGAAGTTAGGAGAGCAAGACTTGATTTATATATGCAGAGACGTATAGAGCCTTTTCTTTTGGTGTGTTTATTCCTTATATCTTTGGGGATGCTATTCTCGTTTCTTACAGATAAGAAGATGCTTAGCCTTGCTGAGCCACTTTCCTGAAACTTGTGGAATCTGAGATTATTTTGTTGATGGGTTATTTCCAGGTTTTGTCTCGAAGTTTTGTATTATGTATTCTTAAGGCTGTCACATTTATATTTTAATGAATTCATCTTTATGCCTATTTTTTTAAAAAATAATTATCTACTCGAAAATCGAGTGTTTATATGACTTGATAACTCGAACTGGATTGGGTTGGATTGATTTAGAATTTTTTCTTTTAGGTTGAGTTATGTTGTACTTTTTAGAAAATTGAAAATTTGTTTAGTTCACAGGTTGAAACTTTTTTTAGTCGAGTTGTGAAAATATAGTTCACAATTCAACCCAGTCCTACTTTTAAGATTGTTAGGAAAATTAAGGATGTTTAATGTTTGTAGTAGATGTTAGTAATGTCGGGTGACTTATAAAATGTTTGAGTTTTATGAGATTTTAATTATTAACGTAACGAGTATTGTAGATAAATAGAATATTTTTAAATAATAAAAAAATGAATAATCGATTCAATTCAACTAAAAAATAGAGATATGAGTTGGGTTGAGATGCAAACTTTATTTGGGTTTTTTGGGTTACAACCCGACCAACCTAAAATTTTGATCGAAAATAAAAGTTTGAGTTAAGATGTAAACTTTATTTGGGCCTTTTCTGTCCAACACCGATGCAAAGACCAAAACCAAGTATTACCCATTCCTTTGAAGCTATCATCACTACCAAAACAGACTTGCTCTTTACTTGTTCTTCCTCCCGAGTGGAGACCGATCGTTCAGATAGATGGGAATAAACTAATGAGCTTGGATATTAATGAACTCTATAGAAGAGTAATCTATCGGAACAATACTCTTATGGATCTATTAACAACAAGTAGATCTACGTCAGGAGAATTAGTAATGTGTCAAGAGAAATTGGTACAAAGAGTCGTGGATACACTTCTTGATAATGGAATCCGCGGACAACCAATGAGGGATGGCTATAATAAGGTTTGCAAGTCGTTTTCCGATATAATTGAAGGCAAAGAGGGAACCTTTATAGGAGAGAAGAGAGGCAGTGAGACCGAGTTCAAAAGAAGAGGTACGATATTTCACTTTACAAGAGAGTATAATAACTTTTTATTTCGAGAGTAAATTCATTAAATCCAAAACCTTCGGGCTACAAATCCAGCCAATCTAAAATTTTATGTAAAAAAAAAGAAAAAATTATATATATAAAAGATTAGTTGGTGCAAAAATTGCAATGAATTTTCATCTTATCTTAACGTGTTGACTGTGCAGGCAATTGAACAACGAGGCAAACAAACACATCACCACGTGGCAAAAGCCCCACGTGTCACATGCTAAACTCTGCCACTTCTTCCTATAAACCACACCTTACAAACCCCTTCAAATCAACACGTTCAGATTCACAAAAAAACACATACAGAGAAAGAGAGAACTACGGTCGGTGTCGGCTGTCGGTGTCGGTGTTCGAACTGAAACAATGGCAGTAAGCATTTCCTTAGCCAAAAATGTCATCTTCAACCTCTGGAAGGCCTTTCCCAATGCCTCTCCTTCTCAAACTCTCAGATATTCCTCCAAGATTTCAAGGGTCTCTTTCACTACTTCCGCCTCTAAGCAACCATGGGTATCATTCCTTACACCAATTTCATGATTTAAAATTGTTATTTTAGTGATTTGTTTCATGGGTTTTGTTCGTCGTATAGAATGGACATGGCGCGGATGCGAACCGAGACCCGAGACCGGATTTAGCATACGAAGATGCGAAGGAAAGAGCCAAGGAAGGAGCCTATGACATGAAGGAGAAGGCGAAAGACTACGCCGAGGGGACGAAAGACATGGCGAAGGAAGAAACCAACAAGGCTGCGGAGACAGCGCGGGCTGCGAAGGAGAAGGTGAAAGACTACGCCGACGATGCGAGGGAGAAGGCTAAGGAAGGGACGAATAGGGTAGCGGAGACGGCGGAGGATGCGAGCGAGAGAGCGAAGGAAAGTGCGAAGGGAATGAAGGAGAAGACGGAGGAGATGGCGAAGGAGGGGACGAAGAAGGCGACGGAGACGGTGCAGAATATTGGGGAGAAGGCGAAGAGGACAGTGGAAGGGGCATGGGAGGCGGCTAAGGATACAACGCAGAAGATAAAGGAGAGGGTTGTAGGGTCAGATGAAGATGAGAGGGATGAAGATGTTGTGGATGTTAGGAGAAAAAGTGGGAGAAAGTTGGATGATTGAAATAATGGGTGGAGTTCCTTTTAGTTGCATCAATGAAATTTCATGTTGTTTTAGGCTTTTGATCAAGAGATGTTCTATGTGTTATGTGGGAACTGTGGAATAAGGTAGATATTTGAAGGAAGTTTCTTTTGTTATCCACTTTTTAAGTGTCTATGAATTTAAACACACGAAGGAATTTATTTGGGGTATATACATTGGGTATCATTTGGAAATTTCTAATGGGTATTATAGATAATGGATATATAGGATATATAGTTTTGATTTATATATCTCTTTACCGTTCGAGTTCGAGCTGACATGTTTGCTGGATTCTTTGTACCTATTTTCTTAGGCTTGTTTTGCTATCACCTTTTATGTTTTGTTTTCGTACGGAGTGAAATGGTATCACTTTTTATGTTTTGTTTTCGTACGGAGTGAAATGGTATCACTTTTTGTGTTTTGTTCTCTTATGGCTTCTTATTTCTAAAGTCTAATCAATAACTCGCTCTCACCTCCCACCGGGTATGATATGAACTAAGAGACATCATTTGTATGATATGAACCAAGAGACATCATTCATACAATATACTTCAATGAAGATGTGAAGAAAATGTTGTCAAAATTATCAAAAGAGGTTGCAATTCATGTCACGTTGAGTTGAATAGGAATGAAGTTTGATGGTGGTTTTATAAATTTTGATTGAATAGGAATGAAGTTTGATGGTGGTTTTATAAATTTTGATTGAATAGAGTTGAATAGGAATGAAGTTTGATGATTATAAATTTTGATGGTTTTATAAATTTTGATTGAATAGAGTTGAATAAGAATGAAGTTTGATGGTTATAAATTTTGATTGAATAGGAATGAAGTTTGATGGTTTTAAATTTTGGGTGGGTTATAATTTAGAGTTATTGTATTTTAAGACATTTTATTTACTTTATAGGTTACATTTACACGGCTAATTATGGTCATTAAGTATGAATGTTACAACTCTTGGAATGCTTCCATTTTGAGGCTATATAAAGCCATGTATGTTGTATTTGTAAGAGAGACTTGGAAAATATAGTAAAAGAAGCATTTGTGCTCTTTTTTAGCCAATGGCTAAGTTTCTTTGCAATTCTATGTAGTTTAGGTTGCATGTAGAATCATTCAAGCTCGACATGATCAATCTTGCTTGTGGAGTGATTCGAATCTCAAACAAGTGTTTGAGATATTTGATCAACAAGAATCATTCAAGCTAGACATGATCGATCTTGCTTGTGGAGTGATTCGAATCTCAATCAAGTGTTCTTGTCTTGAGATATTCGATCGACAAGGTAATCCGAATCTTATTCCCCTTGTAGTTGATTCCTTATCTTATCAGGGTACTTCGATTCGATAGTGTAATGAAGAATATATATGTGGTGATGTACACTAAGAATATATATCTGGTGATAGTTCTGGATAATCTTCTCTAACACTTGTTCAGGTGAACAGGTGTCACTTGCTTTGCTTCTAGTTTCTCTGCAACAGTCTCGGGAGTTTTCTGAGTATCTGCTACAACATTACTAGGTACATCACTACGTGAATCTTTCAGCAACTCAACCTTAACTCCCACTTGCTTCGTTGTCCTAGAGCTTTTCTTTTCTTTGTTCTTATACAGGACATTTTCATCAAAAGTCACATCACAGTGTCTTGGAACTTTTCGGTTTTTGTCATCTCAAAACTTGTACGCGAACATGTCAGAATCATAGCCTATGAAATAACACTTCACAAGCTCAGCATCAAGCTTGTCAACTCTTCTCTGGATCAACCTTGTCAATCTTCTCTGGATCAACACGAACCTACGCAGTACAACCAAAAGTTCTCAAGTGAGAGTACTTGAGTTCTTTTCCTGCCCATATTTCTTATGACAACTTGAACTCCAAGGGTACTGACGACCCTCTATTGATCAAGTAGACTGCTATATTTAGAGTATCGGCCAAAATTTCTTTGGCAATCCAGAATGAATCATCATACTCTTTGCCTACTCATTCATAAGTCAATGACAGTATTTTAAGATGAAGTATATGTTTTATGTTAAAGTTTTCAAATGATTATTTTCGCACAAATGAGTATGGTATGTATACTGTAGCAACTTTAGACTATCAGGAATCTAAGGTCATTACAGAAGTATTATACATGAGGCATTGTGCCCACATAAATAGCTTGATTGTGAATGAGGTGCTTAAAAAAATACATGACTCTATTCTTAGTGTTCGTTATGAGGTGAGTTATGTTAGATCATCCTAAAGAGATGGACAAAATATTTTACCAGTAGTTTTTATTTTTGTTATACTTAATTTATTTAAACTAAATATTTTTATTGTTTTTGTATAATAGGAAGTTTAAGTTTGTGCTCAAAGTTTGTAAGGCGTGACTACTTGTCTCTTTCTAGAAACGGTTTTTTTAGGTATTTTGTTGAATGATTATATTCTGTGAAGGTGGATAATTAATTAGAGGTAGGTGCAGTTGAAATTGATTCAATCCATGCAACTGAGGTTTCGGTACTTTTAAACTAAAAGTTTAGAGGTGACAATTCTTTTATGCGATAATATCACAACTTTTACTCCAAAAGTTTTGAATCCATTATCCAAAATCCTAAACTCTAAATAATTCTAACTCAACCTGAGAATAGAGGGTTGGGTTGGGTTACCAATCCAACAAACCTGAAATTTTGGGTTGGTTCAAAAAATTACTTCAGTCCAATCCAACCCGACCCTTGTATACTCCATAAAGAAAAATAGTCTCACGTCCGTTGGAATGAAAAAACTAGGGAGTTTCTCTACTATAATTGGGATGTTTTATCTCACTTAGTCAA